AATCTTTTTTCTGAATACTGTTTTAAAGTACGAAATTAATAATTAATATTTTATGTATTAATTTTGAATGCATTGGTTAGGTCTTAGGTACTTATGTATATTTTAAGCTATTCGAGAATATTTAAAATTTAAAATGTCCTTATTTAATTTCCGATGGATATTCAATAATCTGCAGAGCGACTTTCTCTGCTTTATAAAATAATTTGGTGTTTGATGTACGAAGTCGTCACATTGATTCGCCGTTCGACCACAAGCAGACGGCATAGTAATATTCATATATTACTTAACATTTATATGAACTAAAAATACAAATTGCTGAATTTTGCGGGACATAAGAACTACCGTGTACTGTACTACTGTAATAGGACTATTATGTACAACACTATTTATATCTATATTTAATTGTAAAAATATGTTATTATTCTGCGACCTGGACATGCCGTCGTCGTTTGTACTAGCGTATTTTTTTGTGTTGCGCGCTCGGGAACAAAAAATATGCCCCTATTACACATGGGTAGCAAATTATGGCAATAAATTTTAATTTTGAGACTAAAAGTAAAATATGTAAGCCCCAAAAGAATATGTAATCAAACTTACGCACACATCGACTCTTCGGGTAATATATAGCTGCAAGGCCATATCTTGAGTGCAGACGCCATATCGAGGAACTTCTTTCTTCATCTAATTCCAAACTGAAAAAATTGAGATTTTTTTATAAAAATTACTTGAGTAGAATGAAATATGTGAGTGAATGTTTGTTGTTGTCTTACACATTTTTCTTTTGTTTAATGAAATTATTAGAATTGTGAATCGTCTCCGATGAGTGACGACGATCAGCTTTTGCCATAGATGATAGATATTATAATACATTATGTTGTTAACAGTTTTCAAGTTTTTGAATTCTTTGGATGACACGATACATTTTTTATTTCAGATTCCGAAACAGAATATTATTCGGAGTGTTTAAATCTATACAATTCAGAACACAGAACTCTGTGTATTATAGGCCATTTAGATACACTACTGTCGCGAGTCTTATAATTATCCCTATGTCCTTTTTCCTCATGTTTCGACCTAAAACAATAGGTCTACCCAACTGTGGGGTTATGACAAGATTATTTATTAGGGACAAACCAACCTTTACATTTTTTACACCACGAACCAAAAAATACATAATAGCTTAGATAGATATATAGGCAGTAAATAAACATCCATATGCCTACCTTAAAACTGGGTAACAACTAACTAGGTAGTTAACTTTTCTTAAAATTCTGGCTGCAGTTGATAAATTTTATTTGGGTTAAATATAAATAGTAAATATGATACTTATATGTACAATATATTGATAAATATTGGTAAACACATCATATTGTTATTAACATAATAATATAATTTGAATATTTCCTTCATTTTTCTTTATTTTTAGTGCGGCGTTTGAAAACTATTGTGAATTTTATACGGTCTTTTGACAACCCAAAGTACTAAATTTATTCACTTTCCTGCCAGAAAAACTGCTGTAAAAATAAATCGAATATTTTTACTGCTCCAAAAGGTGATAAAAAAACACACAAATAAATATCGCTTTCCTGTTCCTTCCATCAAATCAATTATAATTTTAAAAAATCATTTCAAAACTATTCGTGTACTAATTTTTTCGATTTTTTGCTAACACAACCAAAACTGTTGAACGCAATCAGTTCATCGCAAAAGTACAGTAACGACAAAATAGATTGTAAAGGACATGATGAGCAATCGACATCAACTTAAAAAATGTAAACAAGTTTTTTATTAAAATAGTAAGCGAAGAAGTTAAAAAATATTTTAATTATAAATTGTAATTATAAAATATAAAAAATATTTAAAAAAAAAAATATGCATGCTTTTTTTTTGTTGCAAAACTGGTCACCCTAGCCTATGGCCACAGATCGAGCATGATCCTACCCAATGTCTCCCATCTCATTAACATAAATTCGGGCTGAAAAATCCAGTGGTATGAATTCGGTCGTGGACGGATGACAACTAGGTCCGTCTCCTTAGTTGCTACTTTTGCCGGCTTGGTAGTGGTTGGCGCTCGTTCTCCATCATTCGGGAGTTGTTGAACTTTTTGAACATGAGGTCGGGGGCGACAATGCGCAACACATGTTTCAGGTCGTAGTGGTGCTGAAGTTTTATTTAATGACCAAGCTACATGGTACTCATTAATACTATATGAATTTTATTAATAATGTTAATATTAAAAAGGAATTTTTTTGCCCATGTATTTATACTTAACTCAATTTGAAATTAGGAGTTTGTTGTAAAATTGACATTATAATCAACCTATAATCAACAAGTAACAACCTACTTGAAGTCAAATATTTCTTTGGTTTTCAACTTCAGCATCTTTCCTAGTGGAAGAGTGAATCTAGTTGGTGCTATCGAAAGGTCAAATTTAATATTTTAAGTAGCTCCAGGGGAAACCAAAGATTGAATTAAATGTAAAACGTTAATTTTTAAGCCAAAACAGGTTTTAAAAAAATTCATTTTTTAGTATATCTAACTTAAAAAACCCTATATCCATAATATACATATTATACACATATTATACACAGTATATAATATATTGTATTTTTATATGGGTAGTAAAATGTGATCCATTATACTTAACAAAAATTAAGTTAATCTTCAAATTTAAAAATGCCTGCCTTAATATTAAGTGTTAAGTAATTTTAAGATAAGTTTATTAAAAATAAATAAATGATTTCATATTATTAATGATTAAGTATTTTATTACCCAATGAAGAATCAGCACAAAATTTATCATCAGTCACATAAGGTTCAAATCTGTTTGTAAACTAATTCAAACAAGAACAATCAAATGATCGATGTATGGTAAAGATGCTTCTAATAAAATAGGACTTGAAATGCTTTTTTCTATTTTTCCCCAAAAAACAATCTGTAAAAGTATAAAACAGTTATAATTTACAATATTATAATTAGGTGGCGTTTAATTTTAATCACTTTTTATGTGAGAGTTGGGGATGTGTATAATTAGTTAAACCATACATTATGATGTGTGATTTTGTTTTTATTCAACTGTTAGTGAATATTTTTTGTAGTAGAAATATTATTTTGATTTTCTACTTCAGCATATTTTCAGATGGGAAGGTGAATTTAATTGGTATTTTTAACAAAAAAAATTTGGAGTGTACAATAGTTTTGAAAAATGTTGGGAAAACAATAAAAATAGTTAGTTAATTAGTTAATTAAAAATATTGTTGTATTATCATTATGTAATTGCAGAGTTGGGTAAGTTACTTTTTAAAAGTTACTAAGTTACGTTACAAGTTACAAAACAAAATAGGTAACTTGATTACTTGATAGTTACTCGAATACAAAAGTAATGTGTCACGTTACATTTTTTACTCAAAAGTAACTAGTTACAATGACGTTACTCTTGTGTAATTTACGTTTCATAAAAAAAGTCTTTTTTAAATCAATCTTTTTTTATATTTATTTTATACAATAATGTATTTTCAAAATTTTGATCAGTTATTCTAGCTCGTTTTTTTCGTACAAATATCTCCAGCTACACTAAAGAGCCTTACAACAGAAACTGAAGAAGGGAGTGATGTATTAAACTTTACAAACAATTGTTTCATCATAGGTTAACTATTTAAAATTTTTAAATCGCCTGTATAAGCTGTATTATAATAGTGCTCCACTTCACCATTGGGTTGATCAGAAACTAGGTTAAAATCAGTTAAATTGAAAATAATATTAACACAAAATCGTATATTTATAAAATTATATTAGATTATACTGTGAAAATTTTGTAATTACATAAATACCTACTTAAATTATTAATATAATTACATTTTCTGATGCGGATACGAGGGGAAGGACTG